CAAACTTCTCCAAAACATGCTGCTTGCAGCAAAATGCTAACAAAAACTCAATTAAATTCCCAATTTGCTAACTATCAGTGTATCAGACTTTCAATCAAGTTTCACTTTATTCAACTGCATGGTCTATTCCAAAGTTTGCAGTAAGATAAAATGACTAGATGTGCTAAAATTACATTTTCACCTACTTCTTAGCTGGATGGATTAAACTGCAAGATACTGAAACATTAAACACTGAATTCAAACTTCTATAGCTTTGAAACTCTTTGATAAAGGTAAATGAAAGATAACATCCTACACAAACATAACTCAAGCATAACCTCTTGATCTTCAGTACCAAAGAAAGGAGATTCAAAGCCAATTTTAAGTCTGTGCTTTGCCTGGGATCAGCATTTGATCTTTTAAAACTTAAAAAATAGCTTCTTTTTACTGGAGAGCAGTACAGGTTCCTCAAATTGTTTTGAGATTTGGTTTGTTTTCTTGTCTGTTTTTAATTAAGTTGTCCTTTTATGGTCCAAATCATTCTCATTCATTAAATCTGCCAGACTACCACTACAATTAATATTAGTGTCTAGTGAACCGACGATCAGTTTTAGTTATTTATAGAATTTCAGTTTTACAGTTCTTATTATGCAGGTAGTTTAATATTTATTCCAAATTATTCATGAAAACTGGATTAACAGTTGAAACTCTCAGAATTATATCATATATCAATCTTTTCTTTCAAGTCAACCAACCACAGGGTTCACAATGGTTACAGGAAATATTTTTAATTTACAGTGTTTATCAATGCAGTGATAATATTATATTCTCATAGAGAATAAATAGTAGACCATTTAACAGTGCATCCTCAGGAAAATTGGCAAAGTAATTCTGTAGAATTTCCACACACCACACCACCCCCCCCCCCCAAAAATATAATCAGTGCATCAGAACATGAAAAATGCCCGAGTGTGTCAGAAAAGTTAGCCCAACAGATTGCCACCAACACTGCTAACAGGAGATGGTAATTGAGGGGAGCACAGAAGACTGGCCACTTTCTTTGGTCCGTTCACCTCATACTCCCCCAGAATCCACTGTCATTAGATTAAGGATTTTATAGGGCTGAGACATATTTTCCTCCATAACCTTCTGTGGCCAGCAAACCTCAGACATTCAGAAAACATAATGTAAAAAAGTAACTTTTAAATTGATTTTACTATTTCTTACAGTATCAACAAGTAACCTTTACTTCTGGTGTTGAGGAATTAAGTGAATAACACGTTGTTCCACATTCAGTTTACCCACCACTTCAATTTTGTAAACCTCAGTCATATCCCTCCTGAGACTTCTCTCCAGACTGAAGATACGCAGCTTCTTAGTCTCTCCTTACAATGCAGCCACTCCAAACACTCGTTCATTTTAGTTGCCTGCCTTCCTCCATCTCTACTTTCTGTAAGTCCATCATACCCTTTGACACGCAGAGAGCAAATCTGCACACAGTACTCAACATGAGCATGCCACATGTTCAATGGCAGCAAAACAACACTTTTATCGTTTTGTTCTCGATACCCTTACTGATGCTACCTAAAGTTTTATGGCTTTTTTGGCTGCCTCTCCATACTGAGCCTGCAAACACCATCAGTGACAATACCAGGATAACTTTCTTGAGTTGTAACTGCCATTTGCAAGCTCAGCATCATGTAAGCATGGTATAGACTGTTTCTCTAAAATATTCATTACCTCACATTTGTATGTGACAAAGATCATCTGCCACTTGCTGCCCATCCACTCAATTTTGGAGTTTCCCCGCTATAGGTCAGCATTTGACTACCTGAGAGAGCTTAAAGTCATGGGTATCCTTGGAAATGTCACCATACACCTCCTGTATCCAACTAAATTCTCACATTCACACACCTTACAAAAATACCTATGTTGGTTTCTGTTACTTCTGTAACAGAACTGTAACTCCCCCCTCCCCCCAACTGATGATTATGTTTGAATTTGGCTTGAGAAATACGTCCAAAATGCCCCATCTGTAAACTGTGCAGAATTATCAAAATAAATGTCTTCCATCTTGGTAAGCAATAGCAAAATAGACTTTATAGTATATATAATTTCATTGCCATTCAAATAATGCTTAGCAACATTACACTTGAATTTGAAATTACTGTCAGATTTCATTTCTAGAATCCATTCAATTGCTAATTTCTTCCCACTTCCTTTATCTTGAGATCTGCTGAGCCAAGAAATTTAATAGAAAACAAAATTTCAACTGATCACCACTCCTCTATTTGAGCTACTGAGAATCAGCTTTCAAAGCAGAGCACAATGTATTGACTACAAAGAATAAAACCTAGAATCTATTAATAAATTTAGAATAAGTTTTCTTTTATGATTTGTAGAAGATTCCAAATGTTAGTATCTATTTTATTTTTCTTCAAAATTATGAAATTAATATGTATTCTACCCAGTCTGCTCTCCCTTCAGCATCACCTTCTTCCATTATGGTTTTAAAATGTGGTTCCATTTTCTTATTCTCAAAATTGACTTAAACAAAAACCTTAGAATCCCCTTCATAATCATATAATTCTTTTAACTGTGAACATTTTAATTTTTAGGAAAGACAGAGAAATATTAAAGGACTATTAAAACTTAAGTCATCCAAAGTATAAGCATACTGGCTTATGAGTTTGTTTGGAAAATAGTCTATTAAAGCTATTCTGAAAAAGAGGAGTCAAAATATTTTAATTCACCCAAATCTATTATAATTTATATTATACTGAGATACTTAAACAAATTTGCCATAGTACAACACATGCAATGGACAATGCTGTGACTATATTAGCTCTTTTGAACTGTAAGTAGAGGTCACTTCCTTCAACTTTTCTTGTTTGCCTTATCTTTGCTCTTAATGAAAAATTAAGACACTTTGGGTAACATGAGTTTCAAGTCCTAAAAAGAGAGAATCTGACTGTAGCCAAAACCAAATTAGAACAACTAACAAACAACTAAAAGATGCCAAAGCATAAGAGACAAAAATCTCTTGACACCAAGCTATACGAAGACTGTGCAGCAGATAAGCCTATGGTCTTTTCATGCCTAGGATCATCAATAATTGAGACCTAGCCATATATTCCTGTCAACTAGGTTTCTTTTACTTTGAAAATCCAGTTTGTGAGAGTGAAAAGATGAAGGAAAGAAGAAAAAGCATGTACTGGGAGGCAGCAGCTAGGCTGAGGGTAGGATCTGTTTCCAAGCTCTGGGAACAAAAAACATTCCCTTGCTCTGACACAGCCAGGAACACTGAGCGATGAATAGAAGTGCAAAATCCTCCATCCTGATGCACGTGGGACTCACTATAGTACCTCAGAAGTATTTATAACAGTTTAACACAACACTATCTGTATTCCTTCCAGTATAATGCATTTATTCATACAGAGTACACTGAGGTCTCTGCAGTCATTGTCCTCGAAATTACACAAGCTGTCATTCCAGAGGAAAACAAACCAACCACTCAACAAACCAAACAGACCAAAACAGGGAATGCATGTGCAAGTGTTTATTTAAGAACCTTCATCTAGGGAACATAACTGTATTATTCCCATTTAACAGATCCTAGCCTTCCTTAAAATATAGAATATGCCAAGAAATTCCATATACTGCTAACACTGCCTTGAGCCAAAACAGCATTCAGATACACATTTCTATTGATAAATGAAGGAAAGTACAATACCAATCTTTACCAGAACTGGAACGTATTTCATATTCTCTGACAAAGCTCAACCACCAATCTCTTTCTGTTGCTGAAGCAGCTTACAGGGTTATTAAAATGATGTGTTTTTGTTTTGTAAGTGTTAGCACTTACATAAAAAGTTAAGGCTTGGAAACACAGATGGGTTTCCATTGTACAAAAGAACAGCTTTTAGTATGATAAATAAAGGCCAAGGACTCCCTTGTGTAACAAATAACATTACCATCAACACCTGGAAATACAGCAGAAAAATATTTAAAGCACCGCTGTAGCTTCTGACAGCTGTAGCTTACTTGTTGCATCATCTTCTTTTAACATGTTCCACGTGAAACTTTTATCACGATTAAACTCGATAATAACCTTTCAGGACACTCCCTTAACACTCCTGAGAACATTTTCACAGCTTTTGCCCCCCACGGCTCCAAACCAAAAAAAGGGTACATGATACATCAGAAGTAACAAAACTGTTGCACACTACTAGTTCTTCTAGTACATCGCTAGCACTCATTAATGTACCTCTATAAAGAATATTCTGGGTTTTAAAAAACATGCATGAAGAAAGCGCTACCAGTGACTGTATTTTAAAGCAGAATGTCATATTAATTTAGACCTAGCATCTAGGTTAAGAACATAAGCTTTTATAAAACCTAGTATAATCAGCCACAAAAATTTATTTTTCTTTTTCAGTTGGAAATTCTCTTTTTAAAGAAGTCAAACCATTTTTGTATTATCTGTAACTCAAACGCTCTAGTTTCCTGTGACTGCATGAGAAAAACAAAAAAAAGTGATTATAAATAACATTAAATTAACCAAACCATTCTTTTTATCCAACATATGAAATTCAGATGTTAATGGCATTAATGATGAGAAGTGAATTAGATTAGGATTAACTGTATCAATTAGCTAAGGTATTATTAGTACTACAGAGATATATTTTAATGACATACTATCAAATAGAAAAAAATCAACCATAAATTCTGTAAATGAAGCTCCAAGCTGTTCTACTTTTAATCAAGCAATAATGTATGCTTGTTTGGTTTTTTTAAAACATTAAGAGTGGAATAATAAAAAAAAAAAAAAGGAGTATGGAAGGGAGTGGGCAGAAAAGAAGAATTAAAGAGATGATAGTGGATGTGAAATTTAATTACTGATAATTTGTTATGAATATGAAAACTCCAGAAGTTAAGAGCTCCTTTGAACATTTAAGCTAGAAGCAAATCTAAAATAACCAAAAATAATTTCACAATATTTTTGTTCTCTTTTAACCTACCTCTTCTTTTTCTCTACCAGCTGTCTGCAGATCTCCTGCCACCGGGTATTCAAACTTTCCAGTTGTTCCTTCAGCACCTTAGCATCTGCTGTTGATGACTGCTCAATAATCTCTTCACCAGTTACGTTCAATGTTTTGACAACAGTTTGCTGTCGCCCAATGCCATCCTGAAGCTCCTGCAAAATACCCAACATACACATATTCATAAAAATGTCAAGCATGAAACAAAATGCTTCATCACATACCGGCCAGATGGAAAGAGGTGAAAGTTTTTGCTCTCCACTGAATTCCAAATGAAAAATCCAAAGGTGAATAGACAGAAAGACATCTCATGTTTTTGTAACAAGTACCTTTCAGTGCATCTCTACAGCCTGTTTTCCCCTCCTGTATTCCTGTCTGCTAGAGATCATTACAGTAATATTCTGCAGATCAATTAATAAGTAAAACTTGTGAACAAATTTACTTCTACACCCCCAAAGGTATACACCATGTTCATTTAATAGCATACGAAGCATTGCAAAAGTGCACAGTGTTTGGAGTTCCCATTAGTTATCAACACAAATAAACGACGTCGAGAAAGCAAAGACTGTTTGAAGTACTTCTGCTTCCGTTAAAGAACATGCTTGTCTCCAGTTGTGAGAAGCCTGATAATCCATTCCCTCATGGGTTTTTTTGGGTTTTGGTTTTTGCATTTTGTTGGCAGGGTTGGGGGGAACTACACTCCTAAAGAAAAGTATTGCTTGCATTGTCTTTTTCGATAACAAAATCAAAAACTACCAAAAGATAAGCAAGAGGAACCATTTTTCAAGTGTTCCTAAATGCATTGGGATATATTTTCTATACTTTTTATGATTAAAAGCTATCATATCTGTAGCTATCTCATCTCTGTTTAACAACAACACAGTTCTGAATCTGTAGTTTAGATTTTAACACTGTATGCCTGTTTAAGAAAGTTCATATTTATAAATAAAGAAATAAATCTTTTCATATTTGTAATCATCAGTAGAGCATGAGTATTTTTTTCCTTGTATTCCTCAAAATATACAAGCAGGGAAGTGTAAAATCATTTTCAACAGTTTACTGCTAAAATAAGCAGAAACTGAAATAACTTCAACAATCTGCACTGTGGGATTCATACTTACGATAGGTTTCACAATCTCAGGAAGTGTGTCTGAATCCTATCTACATACATGAGCTTTCAAGTAAAATACTAAATCTACCTTTTCTGGAAGAAACCAAATATTTTAGCATATCATACTCTGGAACATTATATGCTTGTTTTCTCTTTTTAAATGCATAATATAAATTACAGAGCAAGTTAGTAAATCTGCATATTAACATTAAATTAAATTTGTCCATGAACTGGCTAAAATTGGCAGGATACAGCTTTCCAGGAATGTAAAAGATGAACATAACTACTACTCATGCATTTTTTAATATATCTTGTCCATTAGATCTTCAGGCATGAAGTTATGATTGAAAGTTCAGAAACTGAACCACACTAGAAGTTAACTTGTTTTAACACCACCACACCTCAGTTGCCAGCTACGAATTCATTAAACTACAGAAAGTCAGTTGCATGCCGTATCCCAGCTTTTGCACAAATTTTACACAGACCTCTTGAACATCAACACCAGTACAACCTGGGACACAGAGATCAATGTCAGCTAGCTGCTGCAGCATTTACCCACAGTCCTGCACAGGAGTCGTAGCTGATGCAGAGGTTTGCACTGTCAAGACTAAGCTTTTTCTTATAATACTTTCTGTTTGCTTTTCTTACAGTTTCTTTTAGGTTGTTATAGAAGAGAACTCCCCCAAAATTATTTTTGTCTTTTATACCTCTCAGTAAAAACTGTTTTGGGTTTTTTTTGTTTGTTTTTGTTCCATTAGAACCTTTACATTATGGGGTAGGGATCACACAGGTAAATCACAACAATAAGATGTACAGTCTGAGGAAAAATATATCACAAAGTGGCTTATTTCCAGTGAGATGCCTGAAACAATTGTGCTATTGCATGCACCTGTATGAACTTAAGTTCCATACCACTTATAGAAAAAATAACTCAGAACAAAGCTTCTACTTATATGCAGCAGGACTGTTCATTTGGAATAGGAAATCAAGGCAAGGAGGAAAAAGAAGGGAAATTCTACTTCCTGAACGTCAAAATTTTTAGAATTAAAATTTGTAGAAATTAGAGGTTCTCTCTACACCAGCTTTTCTAAATGACAGAAACGATCACCAGTCAGTATGCTATTATAAAGTGAAATGCTAATTAAAGGTCCATTTAAATGCTCTAACAGCCCTTTTCCTGCATTCACAGCATCTTAAATTAGTTTTTCTCTATCCCCCAGCATACACACACCAAAAAAAAAAAAAAAAAGGCAACTATTACATGATTGCCACAGTTATTTCAATTGACACAAAATTAACCAAGGGAATTTTCTGATTTATCTCATGGCATATTATGCAATAGGCCTTACTTACAAAGTAAAAAAAAGAAAATAGCTAGCTCAGTGGCAGAGATGGTCTTTGAACTTACAATACCTAATGCTGAAATGGGAACCTCATGCAGGATATGTAGGAAGAAGTGAGAACTTCCACCAGAACATGAGAGAAGGCTGCTGGCCATCTGGATTTCAGATCACCATAAAGAACCCAGTTTATTTTTTTTGAAGTACTCTATGCATTTGACACTTTTCACATGATTAAACAGAAACACATATGCTGATGAAGTTTGTCTGGATTCTACAGCTTAAGAAAAAGCAGATTTTTCTTGATACTGGGTACTGCACAAACCACAGCAAACCATGAAGACATTTGGGTGTTTTAAAAAGTATTTTTGTATAAAGTGGACAAAAGTTGTTTTAACTGTTTTGCTGAATGTCATGTTTTCACACACTTATCCCAGAGCTATGAGCAAACAAACTTAATTTAAAATGAGATGTTTGTATAATATTAAAAATAAAACCACTCAGAAAAGACAAGACCTCATCATATTCATACACACAGAGCTAATCACAATTTTGAATGGACTGCAGATACTTCTATGTACTTTGTGTTTTCAACATGTGGCATTTTTAGCTACTAAGAAAAGCAGATGATAATATAAATACACATCACTAATTTTTCTTTTTTGTGATTCCCAAGCATAAGTAAGCAGGGAATGACATATTGTTAAAGTAAGGTTTCAATATTCTCTCAGACTAAAAATTGCAAAAACAGTGTATTAAAGGACTTCTACCTCTCATACAGATGGTTTTACACTTTGATAATGACCTCAACTAATTTAGTATAACAACTTAAAACTGCCAAGACATTCATAGGATGATTCTTTGCTTCAATTAATTGATTTTTATTTTCCAAGATTTACCTAAGATGAGAAGAATAGAAGCAAAAAAGAAATATGGGGTAAACACAGGGGGAAACCCGCACCACAGTCAATAGGGCTGTTTCTGCAATAGCAGGGGACTCTGCCCATAATCATCTTGAAAACTCTGGCCTAGTTCACTATTGGTTTTCATCTTTGTTCTCACTTGTACTTTTTGGTCCTAGAAGCAACTGCATAGTGACAACACGAGAACAGCTGCTTTATGATATTTTTTGAATCAAACAAAAAAAGAAACGTGGAAAAAAAGGAAAAAGTGGAAAGAGAAATTCCCAAAGGAATTTCTTAATGTGACACTTTCAGCATTACTTCTGACCCCCTTAAATGTATGTAGAACACTATTTCAGCTGTAATTCCAAAGATTCAGAGGTTTCTGCATCAATATTAGTAGTTATGATGTGACTTGTAAAGCTGTGCTTGAGGTAATTATGCAGTACAGTGAATACTAATAAACAAATCACAACTGTTTGTGACAAAGTTGACAAAGTTGTTAGTAACACCGTTATTCTTTAGAAAATACTTTCCAATTACATCATATGTTGCTTTCCTAAGAAAATTAAAGGTCTGAGACACCCTAAATCTAAAGGCATTCCTAGTATCATCTTGGCAATGGCTTTCAGTTCATACCCTAAATATGAGGTGGGAATCCCCTAAAAGGGAGAGAGAACAAAATTATTTAACACTAGAACACATTTCTATCTTCCCTCTCCTCTTTTTTTTTAATTTCCTTCCCATGCTGCTTTTCTTTTTATTATTTTCAGTTGAATTGTTCAGTGGTTTTACTATTTCTTGCCATTTTATTTCTTGTTCTATTTTTTCTTTTTCACCCTCTCCCCGTCAGTCCTGTGGCTTGACTTCAGCGCATTTAAGTTTGCTTTCACTGTTATACCGCTCTTTTTCTTTTAATCTTCTTAGAGCCAAAGGAACTTTCTCCTGAATATGGACGATCAGTGTGTGCCTTGAAGTCAGGCTGGACACACAATGATGCTCAGTGTAATGACATCTAAGAGTTACACTGCACAAATTTCTACGCAACTGTGCACGTGCACTTTAGAGACACTTTTATGTATCAAGGTCCAGTAGATAACAGTTTTGGATACCTAAAGATGCCTGTACTTTGTGTGGAGCAGGCTGATTCTTTGTGAATCACCTTGTAACACATGCATTTGAAATGCAGCAATGTATCCCTGTTGATTCAATCACAGTAGTTTACCTAACTAACAAAATGAATGTGAACAATATGCTCACCACAATGGTTCCTCACTGATATTTAATTCTCTTTTTAAAGCCCTGACTGTGCCGCCTTCTTGATTTAGACAGCTGCCAGTAACCTGATTTTGCCAAGAACAAATAAAACTGACAAAAAGCTCTTTTGTCAAATCCAATCCTACATCAAACAATTTTATCTACTGCATAAACAATATGTAATTATAAAAAGTTACGGTACTTTAGGTTTACACAATTTTTTTATTTTGAAATATCAGGAGTTTTTTGTGTGTGTTTGTTTGGCTTTTTTTCTCCAATGGACACTTATTAACATTTCAGTATCTACGTTGTGATAATAATACTAAACATTTGCTTAACCTACCATTATCAATATCATGAAGTTTGTTACACTTTGTTATTTTTTCTGAGAAACTATGATTAAACTTTTTGTAGTCAAAGAGAAGTAACTTATATAATTGATTAAACAATTTGCCAACCAGTTTAAAACAAAATACATTATACCATCACATCCCTTTGCCACCTTTTTTTTCCTGATGCCTATCACAAAGCTTGTGACAACT